ATGAGATCTCATAATTATGACATCTTATCTCATAATTATGAGATCCTGATCTCATAATATGGCATCTTATCTCATAATTATGAGATCCTGATCTCGTAATTATGAGATCAGGAATCCTATTTTTTTATTTTATTTGGTGAATGCAATGCTCTTCCGTAGGATTCTGATGCTTTTAGTACAGAGGAGGAATACCAGAAACTTTTAATAACACTGATGGTGAGCCTGATTTTGAAGGCTTTTGATTCAGCTTCATCCACACTTGTCAGAGCCACACAGCTCTATCTGTTTCTTTCATCACACCAGTTAACAAATGAGCATTGGTAAATTTCACATTGATAGGTTTTGTTGTATTTACTGTTATACATTTGTTGTTGTGTGCCTTTTAGTACATATGTTGTTAAAATAAAATAAAAAAAATCTGATACAGCAGAAATGATCAAACAGATTATACATGAGATCATATTATAGATGAATAAATATGGTACTTTCTGAGTACCATTAAAATCTGTTCAAGAGATATTCTGATAATAGTTGGTACATGATCATGGGTGTTTGCAGTTTGCATATATAAAACTAAAGCAGTCAAAATATTATAGTAATATTTGTCATAAATTCTGCCTTTGTGTTTAGAAGTAAAATTGGTGTCGAAATTTGAAAATTGATGTTTTGAAAAAAATGGAATACATGAATGAAAAATACATAGGAACCTTGTCTTTAGAATACAGACTTTGTTTCTCTGTTCTGTACTAGACGGTTTTCTTCATATAAAGTTYAGTTCTTGTATTTATGACTGGTAATAATGTGTTTGAAGGGCATCAGGCTGTGAACTGCAGCCTGTCAGACTACGCCTTCACAGCAGGCACCACAGCAATGAACGCCCAGAGGCTTCTGCGAGCTCTGAAGCTGAAGAGGCCAGTGCTGTTGGAGGGCTCCCCCGGTGTGGGAAAGACCAGCCTAGTGGCAGCGCTGGCCAAAGCTTCTGGAAACCCTCTGGTCCGAATCAACCTGTCAGAGCAAACGGTAAGTGTTTGTTTGTTTGTTTGTTTGTTTGTTTGTTTGTTTGTTGCATGAACCATAGAATGCTGACAGCTGGTTGAAACGGGGCTCTTTCTGCAGGATGTGAGCGATTTGTTTGGAACAGATCTCCCAGTGGAAGGAGGGAAGGGAGGAGAGTTTGCATGGCGTGATGGTCCTCTTTTGGCTGCCTTGAAGGCAGGCCACTGGGTGGTTCTGGATGAGGTAAGAACTACTGCTAAGATAATAAGTAATACACTTTTTCCCTCTCTCCTGTCTTCTCTCATCTTTCCCTGCTTTACTGCTTAGGGGTGTAAGAAAATATCGATACACTGAAATATCGCGATATTTCATTTCCCGATACTGTATCGATATTCTAAAGCCCTGTATCGATTT